TATCGCCTTCGCAGAGGCGCAAGAATGCGGTGACTCTGGCGACCAGCTCACCTTTGTCGAAGGCTTGCTTCGCAAGATCGGCAATACGGCGCTGACGCAGAACCTCGTCACGCTGCCTCTCTGCACGTGCTTCATGCCATGCCACAAATCTCTGGTAGACATGGTCCGATGCACACGCCGCAAAACGGAGCCCTAGCTTTGAATATGTTCGATGCGGCACGGAAAAAAGCGAGCCCCACGGAAAAAGCAGCGAGACAGTTCTCTGATCTGGGCAAGCTGGCAAGGGCCACTGGCTGCCTTGTTTTGAACTAAGAAAGCTCGAGCCATAATGGCTACGGATGGAAACTGTTACATTTGATAAAGAAGTGTGCGTGCATAGTTTTTTGCAGAGGATGAGGGGGTCGATGTGGTGCAAAACGACGGGGCGGCGACGGGGCGGCGACGGCGAAAACATAGCCGCCAGACCGCCATTCAGGCCCAGACGACGGGCGGCGACGAGGCGGCGACGGGGCGGCGACGGCGACAACGTAGCCGCGAGACCGGCAGTCAGGCCCAGACGACGGGCGGTGATGGGGCGGCGACGGCGACGACATAGCCGCCAGACCGCCATGCAGGGCCAGACGACGGGCGGCGACGGGGCGGCGACGGCGACGACATAGCCGCCAGACCGCCATTCAGGCCCAGTCCCATAGAACACCAGCAAAAAAAACCTAAGTGCAAGCACTGCTCAAGGAAAAATGAAGGGGATGAGGAGCACAAGAGGAGGGGTGAAGGCAAGGCTAAGAGTGTCCGCAGAGGCAGGCGGACATAAAGATAGGAAGGAGGAGATGGAGGCGGAGGTGGAGGTGGCGGAGGAGGACAAGAAAAAGGTGGAGGGAGCTTAGGAGGAGCAGCAGCGAGCATGAAAGTAAGCTCAGCGCACATCACGGATGCTGCAAATACATTATCATGTCCCGAGACTCGCCTCGCACATACATTAAGAGTACACGCAGGTATGCCTTTGCACAACGGCGAGCGCCAGCGAAGTGGTGAGGGATACGTAATCACTTGGGCCTGCCTAGATTCCAAACCTGGGAAGGCCCAAGGGATCGGAATCCTACGGGTCTGCACCTTGTGTTTTCCCAATGCGGCGCGATGGACGCATCGTGATGCGACAACAAACAGGAAGTGCTTGAGGAAGAACTGCCCTCCATCCTGGCGCAAGTGGTTGAACCGCTTGAGAAACGCGTCCGCGGTGATGAAGCACGAGCACGGTTTTCCAGGTTGGCCGCCCAAGATTAGCACGAGTGCTGGGGAAGGCTGGACTTCAGGCTCAGAAGTTGGGGAGACAAAAAAGGGACCGATACCACTACTCCCCGGACCTCTCCCGGGGTGCGTGCTGACAAGGATTTCGAGGCGCATCCAGCGGTGGCGACGAAGGCCTCCCAGGAGGCCCAAAAAGGGGAAAACGCCGGAAAGGCAGTGGCATCGGTACCTCTTATTCCCCTGAGAACTATTTTTCGAGAGCGCACGCAGTGCACAGGGAGTCACTGAGCGCCGCCCATCAGCACGGGAGCGATCTCCGTCTCGTCGCGCTGCAAGCTCTGATCCGTCGTGGCCTCCCCGAGCAGGCCGCGCGGTGCCAAGGCGCCGCAGAGGCCGCAGGTAACCGCAAGCAGCGCCACCACCACCTTCTGATGAGCCGAATTTCCACCACCACCACCACTACCAGGGGTGAGACGGGGGAGAAGGGAGGATGGGGAGGTCCTCATCCTCCTCTTCTTCCTCCTCCTCCTCCAATTCTTCATCCTCCTCCTCCTCCTCCTCCTCCTCCTCCTCCCCCTCCTCCTCCCCCTCCTCCTCCTCCTCCTCCGCCTCCTCCACCGCCTCCTCATCTTCCTCCTCCTCCTCCTCCTCCTCCTCTCCCTCCTACCTAGGACCTACGGTAGTGGTGGTGGTGGTGGTGGAAACTCCGCTCGTCAACCTTCATCCCCGTGCCCCAGGCCCAGAACCAGACGGCCAGCAGAATCTCCACGGTGCTCAGGGCCATGATGCCCTTGCCGAGGGAGCCGTGGAAGGTGAAGATCCGCGGGCCGCCGCTCCGAAGGGTGCTGAGCTTCTGAAGGCCCATGTACGCCTGCATCGCCACCAAGACAAGCAAGGTGTAGCCGATGTACACGTGAACCACGCGCCGCCACTCGCTCCACTGCCCCTTGACGAAGCCGTAGCCGAAGTACTGCCCGGACGGCCAGTGGGCCACGAAGATGGCGACGTAGCCCGCAAGCGCTGCCGTGGAGGCCAGGATCATGCACACGCGGTGCACGATTCGGCGGTCCTGCAAGTCCACAATGCCCAACTTCTCGTTCGGGTCGGCCAAGTACGCCCACCTCCCCAGCGTCATGAGGGACGCGTAGCCGAGCGTCATCAGGACGGGGTGCCAGCTGAAGGCGGCCGTCATGGCCATGCCAGATCCCACATCAGAAGACCACATTCCCAAGCACACTGCGATCGTCACGCTAATCGCGCACAGGGCGACAGCTGCGTCCACACCTACAGCCATAGGAGCAGAATTCGAGCAAGATGTATTTTGCCTCCCGCTGGTGTCTGCCTAACCACCTGCCTGGCAGAATCGCCAGCCGAAGCACACCTACGGCATGAGCCAAAACGATGTGAGCCAAAATGCCTCCAGAAGCAGGCTCGGCATTGTTTAATGTCCCTCCTTCCATCCGCGCACCTACCTGAAAGTCGCAAGCAGCATAATCATAAGCAGTAATGAGGTACCAGGCGAGAGAATTGAAAGTGAACTGCGCTGGAAACGCGTGTTTCTTGAATGTTGCAGAATTTAGGGCTGCAGATGTGGATGACATCTGAGGCGACAGGACGACTTTGAAAACGGATCGCCTTCGACCTGTATAGTTCTTGATCATCGGAAATTGGGTTAACATTGAAATGAAGCGGAGAGCCACCACTGGGAAATCGACACCAACTTCTGCCTGGTTCGTGCCGTGTGTGCGGGCGAGGTGAAGCTGAGCGCACGGGCGAAAGGGAATAAACAGCCTTGACTGGAGGCAAGGTCAACCATAATTACCTTTCCCCTGGGACGGTGTCCCTCGTATTGCCCAACGGGTGTCCCGTACTTTTCCATTTTCTCCTGGGGATGGTGCCGCGCGGCACCACCGCGAACGTCCCATGCGGTGGTCCCGCGGTGGTCTCGCAGCTGGTGTTGAATTAGATGGATGTTCCAAAGTTTAATCAGATCGCTAGCTGGACAGATATGTGTATACGAATATACAAGAAAGAGAGAAGTAAACATCTATTTCCACACTCATCGTAGAGAACCCTTCTGGTGATCGGCAAGTTTGGGGGAGGGTGAGAAACATGCACTTCGATGTGCACTTCGTTTTACAATTCGATTACACCAGGACTTGCATTTCGACCCGCATGTCGATGGCAAGTGGATGATCATGCCAATATGCATGTCACTTTGTAGAGTGGCTGCATGTTAAGTTGCAGTTCGACTTGCGTGTCGATGCGTAGTTCAATGTAAATGTCGAGAGCAAGTCGCTTGCACTTCGATGTGCATCCCATGGTGCATTCCGTTATGCAGATCGAGGTATAATTGGACGCGCATGCCGAGGTGCAAGTCAGGTTGCATGTTGATTGCATGTCGATTTGCAGTTCGAAGCGCACGTCGATACTCATTTCGATTCGAATGTCGAGCGTACGTCGGTTCACCTTTCAATATGCATCCCAACGTGATTGTCGAGGTGCAGTTCGATGTATATTGCGGGTTGAAACCCGATGTGCGCTTCGACTCGCACTTGCAATCGGATGTGTATGCCAATCTGCATTCAGAATTAATTGCTGATGTCAAAGTATAGTGAACTTCCGATTGCTAGTAGGTACGGGCCCGATGCTCATGTCGACTCGCTGTTCGATGCCCGTTGCGATGCACCTTTTTCGATCTGCAAGATGAAAGTGCTCTCAGACTTGCAATTGGAGGTGCATTTCGAACTGCATCTTCAATACCCTCAGTTCTATGTGAATTCCAATGAGTATGTCGAATATTATTCCGATGCCAATTTTGATCTGCATTTCAATGTAGCTGGATTTGCAAATCAAAGCTGTATCTGCCACGGGGCACAACGGGACAACCGCGGGACAAACATGGGATAACATACGGGACAACCTACGGGACTACCTACGGGACAACCCACAAGACAACCAACGGCAGAACCACAGGACAACCCACAGCCCACAAAACAACCCATGGGACAACCCGCAGGACAACTAACGGCACAACCACAGGACAACCCACAGGACAACCCAAGGACAACCCAAGGACCACCCCACAGGCCAACCGCGGGACAACCTACGGCACATCAACAGGAAAATCAAAAAGAACACGCACGAGACAACTACGGAACGTCCACGGGACAACCCACGGGACAACCCACGGACAACCACGGAAAAACCTCGGCATTCACCGCAAGACGGGAGGAGATCCTTTTTGCCCGCCGTTGCCCTAGCTTTGGCCCGCACATCATCTCCCTACTAGGGAGATGATGTGCGGGCCAACGAGCGTGCGACACGAACCGAAAGCGAAACCAAGTTCCCAGTTGGAGTCATTTCGCTCACACTCCATCCTCCGATGGCTTGATTGGCAAGGAGATGAACATACTGGATGCACATTGGATTAACACGTTCATGCTAAGCTCGCAAGCCGTAATGTTGCACAACCATATGAATGCACATAAAGAACATATTCGATGTGTTGTCGATATATATATATAACAGACGGAGCGATCAATACCTCGACTGAGCGACTGATAGGCCATGTACATCGCCAGAGTCAGGAGGGGGCAACAGTCAGAAGTATGAGTAAGCTGGAAGATGGGGGAGCAGCAACGGTGGAGCAAGGGCAGCCGCAGCAGCACCAGTAGCAACAGCGACGAGGATGAAGCGGACAGGCCTGCAGAGAAGCGAAGCAAGAAAGCAAAAGGCATGAGGCGACAATGGGCCTGGCGGCATTGGCACCAGTGGGGGCTTCCCTTGGCGAACATGCTTCCTCCTCCGCCGCTAACCGAAGCCGCGTGACGCGCGCGCGGCTTCACGCGGCGGTGGGACAAGGACCAGGCAAGTCGGGATCAAGAGCAGCGACGGCAACGACGCAGGGCGTTGCGAAATACAATGGCGTGGGTGTGTGGTGGCACAATTTGGTGCAACAGATCACTGGCAACTAAAATAAAAGCATGATAACTTACTGCGAACATTCAACATCGCCCCAGGAGAAGAGCCGGAGAAGGGGTAGAACGAATAGGATCAGGACCCTCTACATGTAACCAGCTCCCAATGACCTGAGGACGCCAACGTAAAAATCTCCCAATATGGGGCTTTACTTTCGCTGGGGCGCCGCCGTCTTCCACCAGTTTTCGCTGGCGGAACCGCCACGCCTCACCTTCCCAGGAGAGAGGCGGGGAGAGGGAGGCGAGGGGGAGAGAGTAGAGCAAGGGGAAGGAAGGAAACGGAGGCGGGAGGAGGGAGCGCACGCAGCTGCGAGGCACTGCCCAGACTCGGCACCGCGGGCCTCCGCTTGGCGCGGGAAGCGACCCGCTTAACGCGGACGCGGTCGGAGCAGCGCTTGAACTGGTACGGGGACGCGGGACACCGGTGCTGCTTCCACAATCCTCCGCTCAACCCTCGAAAGAATCGAAGATGGTCGCAATGGTGTCTGTGCTGTCGTCGACGAAAGCGGTGGCCGCGACGTCGTCCTCGTGCGACCTGCCAGCATCCTCGTGCCGCCCGCGAAAGCCACCGACCCCACGAGAAGAGGGCACCGAATCCCAGTGACCCGCTGGCACTCCAGGGCTACCCAAGTGGGAAGCCGACGCCCGAGACAGTCAAGGTGAACCGAAAGCAAGATCCCAACGCCCGCAGCGAAGCCACCCGAACACTCGAGGTTGCTCTTTCTCTACAGAGCTCTGCGTCATAGGCCTCGACGTCGCGGAGGTAAACGGAGGCGGAAGAGAGTGTGTGGCATCTGGACCCGGTGGGCTGCGGTCATCGCAGCGCTCATTGCAGCACAAGGCGGCTGAAAGTGTGCGCCCGGTGGTGCAGACGACTGTGTGGCAAACGCAGGAGCCGCGTTAAAGTCTGCGGGAGAATGTCCTTCCGTGTCCGCATATCCATGGTCCACTTCATTTTGTGCAGCAGTGACGAGTGGGAAAACGGTCTCGTCCCAACAGCTCTGGCACTGGGAGTGAGGGACATGCCAGCACGATTCAGACGATGTTCCACTGAGGAGTTAGTCAGAGCCCTCTGGATCCGAAAGAGCGCGGTCTCGTCACGTAGCAAACAGTCTACTAAGCGGCTCGGAGGTTCAGGCAATGAGCTATCCCCTCGCTGCCGCCCTCGCACTCTTACTGGTATGGCAAATGACGAGGCACAGCGTGCATACTGCAAGACGTGGGAAAGGCGTCTGCCATCATGCGGTGATGATCCAGCAGATCCACCTGGAAAGACCATCGAGAGCTGTGGACGAAACCACCGTCGCAGGATCTGCAAGCAGGGCGAGCTGAGGCCACCGAATTTAACTCCTCTTGGCCATGGCGTGGGTTCTCTGGGAGTAGATGGCAGCGGAAGCCGCCTCCGGGTGAGCGCGGTGAGGCCCGGCCTGACTGGTATGGAACAGGGCTGAACCTAAACGGTGTTTTTCGTTTTCGTTTTGTTCTCGTTTTCCCTCGCTTTTGTCTCCAACCCACCCTTGCTGCAAAACGAAGTCGAAACGAAAACGGCCCACGAAATCACCAAAAACACCCTTTAGGTCTGGCCCTGATGTGGAACGCAGGATCCCTCGGGTCGGTCCTGGCGGCGCGGCCGGCCAGCAGCAGCGGCGCCGTACCCGCTGTTCTGGGGTCGTGCGCTTGGGGCCGCCACCAGCGCCACTTCGACGACGATGGTATACTGCACCGTGGCCCTGCGTCATGGCCCAGCAGCCAAACCACCCGTTCCCTGCAGCGACCAGCGCGGGCGTGAGGTCGTCGATGGCGCGCTCCATCCATGCAGCCGCGAACTCGCTCCCGCCGCCGCGGGTGGCGTTGGCCGTGCGCCACGCATCGGTTAGGAGGCAACATGCGAACCCTCCCCCACCTCCCCCACGATTTCTAAGGAGGGAGGTGGGGTAGGGTTCGCATGTGGCCTCCTATCGGTCCAGGCCGAAGGTAAGAACGAGGACAAAGTCGGAGACGAAGACCACGCACGCACGCCACAGATATCGACAAGGTGCCTTACGCTTTCGGAGGTGCCTCTCAAGACTCCGTTTGCAGAACGTCAAGACTTCGTAGGGGCCAGCGAAGACAGGAATTTGACGGCGGCAGGGTTGCAAATATGGATCTGTTCACAGGGGGGCACAGTCAACCCGTATAATGAGCATGCGCGACAAGGACGCAAGGGCCTTGGAAGTGGTTAAGGATGGACCGAGGAGGCGAGGATGCAAGAGTAGACTTGGGAAGGCTGTCCATCCTTTCTATGCGGATTAACTGTAATGGAAGAGACCTCGGTGATGGCCACTGGGAAACGGCGTCTGCTTGCGGCAACCGACATGCTGACTGACAGCGCAGCCCCTGCTCCGAAAACCTGCCCGGGAAATCACCGCGGACTCGGCCATGACATCTGTCCAATCGATCGCCAAGTCAGCTGGCAGTAGCCAAACATGGTGAAGGAAAGAGGCAAGGCAGGTCGTCGATAGCCAGAGTGGTACCAGCACACACTGCTTCGGCCGTTGGGGAGGCAGGACACGCCCCCCATTGCTCCAACATGCGGGGCTGTGAGGCGGACACGCGGGCACTCCCACTATACCAACCCAAGACGGCCCGCACAAACCCCAAACGCAGCATCTCGACACGGTCCGATCAGCATCTCCTCGCGCATCGGACGACCCAACACGCATCACTAGGAACACATCACAGCAGGCCCCCCTGCTGTAGCTTCAATGCTTGGACGGGTTCGCAAGGGAACAGAAGAATGTGCCCGAAAGAGGGCAGCCGTGGGCGACTCCCGCGAGCACTTGATGGACGCAGCATGACTCAGCATCCAAGCGACTCCAGCGGCGGCGACCGTTGCACAGCGCCGCAACCAAGCTGACCTACTGGAGCAAAGGAGCAGAGAACAAAGCAGGAGAGGAAGAAAAACATCGAAGAGGAGAGACGATGACAAGGGGGGGCGAAGCACAAGGAGGGAAAAGACGAGAGGAGATAAGTATGCGTAACAACAAAGCAGGAGAAGGAGGGAGGGGGAAGGAAACTTGCAAAAGGAGGAAGGATAGAAGATGGGGTGAGCAAGAGGAGGACGAGGAGGAGCAGAATATGAGGAGCAAGACGAATCGAAGGGACAGGAAGAGGCGGGGTAGGAAGTGCAGGAGGGCGAACTGGAAGACACCCCGCTTCACTTAGTTAGCTAACTGAGCCACGTTGGAAGTGATGCCCTTCCCGAGCGAACAAATCACGCGTGACCTCTCTCCATCATCATCGTCGTCGTCATCACCACTATCACCATCATAATCGCACCCCCAACCCTATCACCATGACCATCACAACCATTTTCACCATCATCATCACCACCAACATCACCAACATCATCAACACCATCACCGCCATTACCATCATCACCGCCACCCTAACCATCGCCAACACGACCGTCGTCATCAGTATCCTTCACCAGTTTTACCACCATCATCAGCATCATCATCACCGTCATCATCAGCATCATCAGCAGCATCATCAGCACCATCATCATCACCATCATCATCATCATCATCAGCATCAGCATCGTCATCGTCATCGTCTTCATCAGCAGCAGCATCCCCTCCTCTTCCTCCTCTTCCTCCTCCTCCACCCTTTCATGCTGGTCATCTCCCCTTGGCCCCCGTTTCTCCCCCCCCTTCCTTCCACCACTTCCTACCGCCGACCCCCCCATAACAAAAACAAGCCAAGGTCGCTTTCTGCCGCCCCCACGGACCATCCCCGAGAACGAGACGAAGGTGTAGGAGACCTTCACCGCGCCTCAGCAACCCGTCCTCCCGCCCCGCCCCCTCCCGGCGACGCCGACACGCGGCGACGAACGCCACGGGGCTCGGCCCTCAGATCTTGGGCCGTGCCGCGAGGCCTGCGGCAGGCCTGCCCCACCAAGGGAAAACGACAGTTTTTGTCGCGGGCCCGGCGAGTGCGCGGGTCGGTCGCGTGGCCCAGCGGCGCTGAATAGCGAGTTGCGCACCGCAAGAGGCAGGGCGGCCGCGGAGGGGGCGAGCGGGCGGGGGAGGGGCGAACGCAGACCACAAAGGGGTTCCTCGGCGTGCTGCGGCCCAGGCTGGGGGGTCTCGGATCGCCTGGGAGAGAGAGAGAGAGAGAGAGAAAAAAAGAGAGAGAGAGAGAGAGAGAAAGAAAACAAAAAAAAAGAGAGAGAGAGAGAGAGAGGGAGCATGCCAGCACAGCGCTCGCAGGCGTACTCGCACAGGCGAGGAAAAAACAGACGTCTCGCCCTGAGGACGACTCCGCGGCCGTCGCCCTCCACCTCTAGTGAGGCCCAACGAAGCGAATCATCGCAGCACCGCGAGAAAAAAAACGACCAGAGCGCTGGACCTCATCCTTTTTGCGGCACCTCGAGGCCAGCTCGACCTGCAATGGCCCTGGGACCCGAACTCTGGGCGGAAACGCCCAGCGCAGAAACATTGCAACGCACCTCCTCCTCCTCCTCCTCCACCTCCTCCTCCTCCTCCTCCTCCTCCTCCTCCTCCTCCATTCCTTTTCCTTATGAGCAGCTCTTTCATGTCTCACCCCGAAGCCCGTCGGATCGGCGGGCTGGGCATTTCGTCTGTATTCCTCACCATTTACGGACCTGAATGTTTGAAGAACTGGCAACCACCTCGCATGTCGTGTTCAAAATGTGGCTCTCGCTTTGGTGCCGCGCATATTTTCAAAATTCGCAAGAGATTCACGGATTGAAGACAGGATGCTTCTGAAATGTTGCTCTCGCTCTAGCGCCGCGCACACTCGTTTGAAAATGTGTAGGACGTTCACGGATTGAGGGCGAGCCAGTTTCGAAAAGTAGCTTTCACCTTACCGCCGGCAACATTCGCTTTTCATTTGAATGTCAAGATCTTCGCGGATGGAGGGCGGCTCTTCTCCAACATGTGAGTATCGTCTTCGCGCCGCGCGCATTCGCTTTCTCAGAACAACTGCAGGATGCTCACGGGTCTGCATGCTTAAAATACAGGAGATGTCGTTGCGGAGCGACTCAGGATTGCCAGGGCGCAATAGTTACGTTGATTCGCGGTGCCGACATCCAAAAAATGGTGTTCTGTCGCGATCCAGGATCGCCAGGACGCAACAGTCGGGTTGCTTCGTTGCGCTGAAGCCTCGAGAGTGGAGTTCTGGCGCGCTTCAGGACTTTCGCCTGGTGGTCTCCCAAAGGGGCACTTCCCTTACTGGAAATGAGCCGTTTTCTTTTCATAACGGCCTGCGAAGACGAAACTTGGAGGGAGGGTGTATTCCAACATCATTGATGAGCCTTGGATTGGCACTGGTCCTCCAACTCCTCCTCCTCCCCCCTCCTCCTCCTCTCCTCCTCCTCCTCCTCCTCCTCCTCCTCCTCATGCAGCGAGTTCGGGTGCGAACGGCACCGCGCACTTTCTCTAAATATCCTGGAGCTGAACGCCACCTCGGCTCTACCTCTGCAGGAACAGATGTGCAATCATTGCGTGTGCCGCTGCAAGGCTATACTTTCATACACATATGTATATACATACTCACATACATAAACATATGCCTATTCCTATACAAATGCACATTCAGATGCATATGCACCTACCAGTACACTTACACATACATAAACATATACATATACAGATGCATCAGTAAACATCCGTGCGTGCATACATACATACATGCATACATACAGACAGGCAGACACACAGACAGACAGACATGAAGGGATACAGACACACTGACATACAGACATACACCCATACATACATATATCGATATATATACACACACCGATCAAGTGCTAAGCGCTCGGCCTCGCCTGCAACATTCCGCTGCGTTTCTGTGCATTCCGCCAGCCACCTCAAAGCTGTTTCATTCCCTCCCCCTGATTGGTTCCGAGTAGTTGGTCGGTGTACATAGTTGTTGTTGGGCTGTGCTTTACATACCCAGTCGTACTTTGCTAGCCGCCCTCTCCCCATAATTCCCCAACTGCAACCAACGGGGCGCAAGTCGGCTCCGCCGCACCCTCCCTTTCTAGGAGAAGGGTCGGAAATGGCTGGTGCTCCCTGGGCATAACGGGTCGGGGGGCCTCGGAACCTGCAGCCCATGTTGCGAGCTGCGGGTGCTCAAGGCACCACCCATTGTCTCTAAGTTTCCTGCGGTTCGGCCCTACCTCTGTGGGGAAAAGATGTGCGAACATTGTTTGTGCTGCCTTTTACTTACACACATGATTTATGTATAAATATGCATCTACAAATTTATAAACATGTCAAGCGCTACGCGCTCGGCCTCTTCTGCAACCAACCACTGCCTTTCTGGGCATTCCGCATGCCCCCCTCTTCAACACTTCCCCCAGACCTGCTCCGAGTAGACGGTCAATGCAAATGGTGGTTATCGAAACTCCTTTGGTTGCCATTGTAGCTCTGCTGGTGGCCCTCGAAGCGGTGCTGGTGGCCTCTGTATCTCTGTTGGCCCTCGAAGCTCGGCTTCCTGCCTTCGTAGCTCTGCTGGTGGCCCTGGTAGCTTTGCGGGTGTTTCTCCAAGCTCTGCATCCTACCGTCGTAGCTGTGCTGGTGGCCCTGGTAGCTGTGCTGGTGGTTCACGAAGTTCTGCCTCTTGCCGTCATAGCTCTGCTGGTGACACCTGGAGGCCAGTGTAGTCCCAGTAAGCGTCCAAACCGTCGTAGCTCGCGAGGCCGCTGTAACAGTCGTAGTCGTCCAGGCCGTCGTAGCCGAGATTGCCTTCGTAGACCTACATCTCGTAATTAGTCACCGCTGCCCAGCACCTGAACGACTATGTCTTCGTATTCGTGGTGCCTATCATGCAGCTCGTTGTTGCACGTGCCGTACTCGTAGGCACTGATGGCATCGTGCAGAATCGCCACCACGCTGGAGCCGGCGCCCGCGCGGGCAGCGCGGCGCGCCGCCGCCTTGAGCGCGACGTATCGCCGGCGCCGCGCGGCGCGCCGGGCCGCAGAGGGGCCCAGCGCAGCGATGTCCGCCTCGCGCCTCATGCTGGGCCGCCTCGCGTTCGGGCAACCCCCCGCGTTCGCCCGCGACCGCCAGGGCGCCGTCGCGCGCCTGCGGCCTTGCGGGCTCAGGGCGACTGCGAGGATGGATTCCGCAAATGGACTTCCTCCTCCTCCTCCTCCTCCTCCTCCTCCTCCTCCTGCTCCTCCTGCTCCTCCTCCTCCTCCTCCTCCTCCTCCTCCTCCTCCTCCTCCTCCTCCTCCTCCTCCTCCTCCCCCCCTCTCCTCCTCCTCCACCTCCGCCCCCTCCTCCCCCAAGTCCTCCTCCTCCTCTTCCTCCTCCTCCTCCTCCTCCTCCTCCTCCTCCTCCTCCTCCTCCTCCTCCCTCGTCCCTCCTTCCCCCCACTCTTCCCTCCAACGCCCTGGTCTCAGGATCCTCACGGCCTACCCCCGTCCTGCCAGCCTCCCGCCCTCCAGGCGCCCGCTGGGCCCAGCGCCAGGGCACGTTCGAGCGTCCGCTCGGGGGCCGCCGCCGCCGCTGCCGAACCCGCCACCGCCGTCGTCGTCGCCTACGCCGCCGCCGACGACGACGACTGACGACAATGACGATTTCGACAAGCGGTGGGGGGGGGCTGGCTGGGCTGGCGGGCGCCGCGCCGAGGCTCCTCCAAGAAGTCGAGGCCCAGGTCCAGCGGGGCCATGTATATCGTGCCCTCCTGCCCCGAGGCGGGAAGAGGGGAGGGAGGGAGGGAGGGGGGGGAGGGAGCAAGAGGGAGCAGGAGGGAGCAGGACGGAGCAGGAGAGAGGAGGAGGAAGGAGGAGGAGGAGGAGGACGAGGAGGAGAAGGAGGAAAGAGAAAGGAGAGGTGGGCGGGAGGAGGGAGGCGGGAGGAGGGAGGCGGGAGGGGGGGAGGGAGTGGGCAGGAGGGGAGAGACGGTGGAGCGGGGAGCAGGGAGGAGGGCCGACCCATACGTTCTCGACCATCTCCACCTTGTTACCACTGCGATTTCCTAGCTCGGATGTCGCGAGCAGGCACGAGGGTTTCGCCAGGGGCATCGACAAAAAGGAGGAGAAGGCGGAGGGGAAGGATTGTTTCACGATTGTGGTATCTGACCAACGGCAATGCAGGTTAAGAATCGGTGCCGCTCCACTCAACATGGCAGTGAACATAATACGAATCAGCTAGCAGCCAGGAAATCCAGGAACGCCACACAAGCTGACCTGGTGTAGGCAAACTCGTGTAAGAAACGGTGGCTGGGGAGAAAAACGAGGAGCACTGACAAGGAGGGGGAGCACTTGATGAAAACATTGAAAACCGATGGTTTCTTAAGAATTCGCAAGAGCGCACGCGCAGACCTGTTTTGAAAACTGAGGTTACAATCTCATGTTTTGTTTCCCCACCTTCCTGTGGTGTTGGGAACTCGTTTTGAAAAGACTGCGCCACGCGTCCACTCCTCACTCCTCCTCCCCCTCTTCCATCCTCCTATCCCTGCCTCCGCCCCCCGCACCAGTCAACAATTTCGGCACACCCCTCACACGTTTCGTGGCTCCATGGGGAGCTCAACAGAAGGCCCTAGCGGCTGCGATCGCATGCGCCCACCGCACCCAGTTTGGCACACCCCTCACACGTTTCGTGGCCCCATAAGGGGGCTTCGCCGAGGGCCCCAGTGGCTACGTTCGCATGCGCCCACTGCCCACATTTCGGCACACCCCTCACACGCTTCGTGGCCCCGTAGGGGGCTTCACAGAAAGCACCAGCGGCTGCGCTCGCATGCGCCAACCGCACCGATTTTGGCACACCTCTCACACGCTTCGTGGCCCCGTAGGGGGCTTCACAGAAGGCACCAGCGGCTGCGTTCGCATGCGCCAACCGCACCGATTTTGGCACACCTCTCACACGCTTCGTGGCCCCGTAGTGGAACTCCACCGAAGGCCCCAATGGCTGCGTTCGCATGCGCCCACAGCACCTAGTCCGGCACACCCCTCATACGCTTTGTGGCCCCATAAGGAGCTCCACCGAAGACGATACAACCGCGTTACTCGCAGCTGCATGCGGCTGGGTCCTTCGCCAGGCAAATTAGATGCTTTCGAGACAATCGATTTTGAAATCCGTATGAAACCTGAAGTTTGTAAAGGATGTCGGCATGCGCGCGCGACGATCCTGTTTCTCGTGCCAGGGGCTTTGAGAATTAATGAGTTTTATAAACGAGTGAACGCGCATAGTGCTTTCTGAAGAGGATGGTGTGGAGTGTCGATGCCGGGTGGGCTGGGTTGTATGAGTTCAAAATTAGAATGAACGATGGGGCAGAATCACATGTAAGTTGCACATGCCCAGGGCGGGGGGATACTCCCAGGGGGGTGGGGCAGATCCAAATTCCTTATTGGAAAGGTGACTCTCGGCGGCGACGGGGTGGCGACGGCGACCACGGAGCCGCCAGACTGGCAGCCGGGCCCAGACGACGGGGCGGCGACGGCGACCACGGAGCCGCCAGACTGGCAGCCAGGCCCAGACGACGGGCGACGACGAGGCGGCGACGGCGCGGCGGCGACGACCACGGAGCCGCCAGACCCGCAGCCAGGCCCCAGCCGTGCTATGTGGCTGTCCACGACCTGGACGCCTAGAGCCAGAACTCGAAATTACATTTCCAGCTTTCTGCCCAAACGGGACCTCCCAGACCGCCAGCAGGCCTCCAAGAAGACCCCACGAGGTCCAACAGAGGCCCCAAGAGGACCCCAAACGGCGCCCAAGAGCCCCCAAAGAAGCTTCAATACTGCCTCCAAGAGACTACCGAACAGATGCGTCAAACTCCCAGGGAGCGGCCGGTGATGCGCCGCCGGCGTTCTCGATATGCATACCGATGTATGTATACTTACATACATACAGAGTGTGCTGATGCATGTACGCGTGCCTATGGCATACACGTGGATGTGCAAGTATACATGTCAGGAGGAACAGGGTCGATGATCGAATTTCGAAGATAAAGCTTGCTGCATATGCGTGGCCCTTCTGAGCCAACGGAGGGCTCTGGAGACCTCCCTTCCCCTCATCCCTATCCTCCCTCCACCTCCTTGAATGGCTCTCTCCCCTTTCGCCCATCCCACTGTCCCTCCTCCCTTCCACCCTTATCCTCCTCCTTCTCCTCCTTCTCCTCCTGCTTATCCTCCTCCTCCTCCTCCTCCTCCGCCCTCACCTCCTCCACCATAATCCTTCTCCCTATCATCCTCAGCATCACCAGCTGCAGCAGCATCATCATCATCGGAATCATCATCATCATCATCATCATCATCATCATCATCATCATCATCATCATCATCATCATCATCATCATCATCATCATCATCATCGTCATCATCATCAGCATCATCATCATAATCAACATCATCATCATCATCATCAGCATCATCATCAGCATCATCATCAGCATCATCATCAGCATCATCATCATCGTCATCATCAGCAGCATCATCAGCAGCACCATCATCATAGTACTAAGCATAATAATCAGCATCATCACCACCACCGTCATCATCAGCATCATCATCATCAGCATCATCATCAACACGACCCCCATCGTCATTATCATCAGCAGCAGCAGCGTTAGCAGCAGCAGAATCGTCATCGTCATCGTCATCGTCATCGTCATCAGCATCACCAGCATCGTCACCATGCCTGCCATCGCCATACGCATCATCCGCATCAGCAGCATTCATAGTCAGCATCACAAGTATCATCATCACCACCATCATCAGCAACAACACCAGCGAAGCATCTGTATCAGCATCACCATTGTCACCAGCATCATATGCACCAGTATCAACATCACATTCACCATAGTCATCAAAATCATCATGCTCAACATAGTCATCATCATCAACATCATCACTATCATTATCGTCATCATCGTCACCGTCAGCATCATCACCGTCGTCGTCATACTCACTATCACCAGCATCATCATCAGCAGCAGCATCATCATCACCCTCGTCGTCACCATCATCAGTAGCATCAGAAGCGTCATCACCACCAGCATCAGCATCCTCATCATTTACATCATCATACTCATCCTCTTCTTAATCATCATCGGCAACAACATCATCATCACGATCGCCATCGTCATCGTCAGCATCGTCATCGTTACCGTCACCATCGGCATCATCATCATCATCAGCTTCATAACGACCACCACCATCACCACCACCACCATCAGCATCGTCATCATGACCAGCATAATCATCATCAGCATCATCCTCGGCATCATCAGAACCATTCTCATCATGAGCAGCAGCATCATCACCACTATCATCATCACCATCATCATCAGCATCATCATCAACATCAGCACCCGCATCCGCGTCGACATCATCCCTCCGTCTCTTCCTCCCCGCGACGTCCCTCCTTGACACCCCCTACCTATCACCCTCCCTCCATCCTCCTCCTTCGCATCCCCTCTCCTCCGCCTCTGCCTCGTCCCTCTCCTCCCCACTCCTCCTCGCACCCCATGTGTCTTTCCCACCCACACACCCACCACCCTGTCTTCTACAAGTACACAATATGAATACTACTCCCTTCTCTCCAATGGTGGCGTCCGGGGAATGTCCGGCTCCCCTCCGCGTAATGTTTTTTACATACAAGATTCCCAGGGATTGGTTCTTTTCTCAAAATGCTGCTCTCGCTGAAGCGCTGGCCTCATTTTCGAGCTACCGCTCGTTCCGAATCGTGCTCCCACTGCAGCGCTGGCCTCATTTCCGCGCTTCCGCTCGTTCCGAATCGTGCTCCCGCTGCAGCGCTGGCGTCATTATTTCCAGCGCCATGCCACGGCATGGTTTTCGGTTCTTCAAAATAGGCCCCAAAATCTAGAAAATGCTTCCCCGAAAAAAAACATCAGAAGTGATTACACATTCGGTGTCGATTCGTTGATTTGTTGGGGGAAGCCCCCACCCTCAGTTTGGGGCGTCGCCACGCCATGTTATGTCAGGCAACGCGTTCTCACTCCCGCGGTTCCGCGCTGAGTTTGTCTTCAAAATGCTGCTCTCGCTAAAGCGCTGGCTTCATTTTCAGTGTACCGCTCGTTCCGAATCGTGCTCCCGCTGCAGCGCTGGCCTCATTTCCGCGCTTCCGCTCGTTCCGAATCGTGCTCCCGCTGCAGCGCTGGCGTCATTTTCATCAGCGCCATGCCACAGCATAGTTTTCGGTCCTTCCAAATTGGCTGCATTTTGTTTTACACAAAGGAAACAACATCGGAAGTGACTACACATTCGGTGTCGATTCGTTGACTGTTTGGGCCGCAGACGACCCCCCCCGCTTTGTGGCGTCGCCACGCCATGCTATGTCAGGCTACGCGTCCTCACTTCCGTGTTTCAGCACTTGGTTTTTCTGAATGCTGATCTCGCTGCAGCGCTGGTCTCATTTTCGGGCTTCCGCTCGTTCCGAATCGTGCTCCCGCTGCAGCGCTGGCGTCATTATTTCCAGCGCCATGCCACGGCATAGTTTTCGGTCCTTCCAAATAGGCTGCAAAATCTAAAAAATTGACCCTCGAATAAACCATCGGAAATGACTACACATTCGGTGTCGATTCGTTGATATTTTGGGCCGCGGAAGCCCCCCCCACCTTGGGGCGTCGCCACGCCATGCTATGTCATGCTACGCACTGATCTTCGACACCATGCTATGCCATGCAGTGCTACGCCATGCTGCGACATCCGATGGTGTGAATAGAAAGGGGATCTACGCCATGGTAATGGATGGGAGGGATGGGTGAGATGTCAGCTATGACGCGAGCGCAGCTAGCTTGCCCGGTGCCAATCCCTCCCTCCCCCGCCACCGCCCCTTCCCGTCCCCCCCCCCCTCCCCCCCCCCTCCCCCCCCCCTTCCCCCCTCCCCCCCCCCCTTCCCCCCCCCCCTCTCCCGCTTCCGTCCTCGAGCTGCACTGGCCAGTCGCAGAGATCGCTCGCCGCCGAGGCCCCAGCGGCGGCCGCCTGTGTGCGCATAGCGGGGCGGAAGAAAGCTGCCCGCGGGAGGACGGGAGGAGGAGAAGCGCCCGCCTCCGATGTGTCTGCGGTCGTCGACGGCTGGCGGGTGAGCAGCGCACGAGCATTGCCGAGCCGCCTGGCCAATACTCGGGCTCCGGCGTGGAGTCGACTCTCTGAACCCCCTTGGGTCCAAATTTTCCTCCGGCGCTCAAAGAATTAATTGTCGTATGCGTTAGATCACGACTAACTAAAATGATCCACTTTTCCTCTGGCATCATCTCTCAGGCACAGGAGAGACGGGGGAAGCACGGAGGCAGGAAGCGAACAACGGACGGCAGGAGCGGAAGCAGGGTGGGACAGGAGAAGTAATGCGCCACCTCATCGCAACCGAGAGCCAAGCTACCAAATTTACAACTATCAGCACCTTGCCTCAACCTGCGGGTCGTGGGCCACGCATTCCAGGCAGTACGAAGGAAGGCGCTGCCAACACAAGGGAGCAGCTTACGATTGGCATTGCGTAAACTCAAAAACACTTGATCACCGATGGGGGGGGGAGCCTGGGGCCGAAAGAACCTAACGCACCTCAGAAGATCAGGCACGGGAGAAGGAGGATGCAGCCGAACTTCCAGGAACTGCGTCTTCCGCTGAAAACCAACAACGTCGGGATCGGATGCGTTGGCAAGCTCAGGGTGCTTCGCTAACTTGGAAGAGCGAGACGACCTCTGCTTCCGACGACGACGTTTCTGAGAAGACTGAGAAGGTGGGGGTCATCATCGAGATCGCTGTGTAAGTCTTCAGGCAGGCCACCAAACTGTGGAAGAAACATCGTCGGGAAAATCATCGGGCAATTCATCGAGCAACTCGTGAGGCACGCCATCAGCGGCCGAAGAAGCAATGCACACGGCACCAAGCGTGTCAACGGCTTCACCAAGACACAAGGATGCAATCCAATCGCGAAGGCCAACACAATCCGTGTAAGCCATATTGGAAGGATCATACATGTCGGCGATGCGCGGCATACAACCGATACGCTGTGCCACCCAGCTCTCATGGCCACTGCGCGCAGCTCTCGGAACTTCCAAAGGACAACGATTGTCCGCGCAACAGAACGCGGCCCAAACCAGATCAACCGTTTCTTGGGGATCACCGAGGCTGCGCACATGGCCTCCTTAATATCCTCAATCGCCTCATAACGATCATATGGTTTTTCCAATACAAAGATGGCTTCATCCAGAAGCCCCAGGAAATCCTGATGTTTGCGACCCAGCGGGGAACCAGCGGATCAAACTTGGATTCAATCGTGATCTGGACAAACACAAGGACGTGATCTGAGGGGGACATCAAGTCGCGCGCGTAAGAATTGACCCCCGACCGTGCATGCCAATCGAGAACAATGGCTGCCAGAGCATTCCAAACGATACGACCAAGACGAGCAAGCGAATGCAACTGAGGGGCATCATCACGCAGCCCAACAGCGCGGTGAGTCATGTCGGTCTGTAATAGTTCAACAAACTGGGCAAAGAGTTCGGAAAATCGACCCAGTAGAAGAGAATCGTCATACGTCGTCGCTGCCCCTTGGATGCTGTGCCTGTCTGCATTCCTCCCCGTGGAATTCCAATCTCCATCTGCAATACTGAAAGCGAGACCCTGGCCAGGCAAGGCACGGGAGAACCGATGATGGTCGAAGATGGCTTCCAAGACGGCCCAAGATGCACCCAAGATACCTTCAAATACGCCCAAGAAGCCTCCAACACGGCCCAAGAGGCCTCCAATAGGTCCTCCAGGAGGGCCCGAAGAGGCCACATTCATTGAGTATCCTACGGTTTTTGAAGGATTGTGGCATGTGCTCTTTCTCTGCATTCCGACAGCTCAAGACGGCCCAAGAGGCCCCCAAGATCGCTCCAAGATCGCCCACGAGGCCTCCAAGATGCCCCCATGACGGCACAACAGGCCCCAAACACGGCCCCAAGAGGGCCCCAAGAGGCCTCCAAGACGGCTCAGATGGCCCTAAGATGCCTCCAAGACGGCCCAATATGCACCAAAAACGGCCTAAGATGGCCTCAAGATGGCCCAAGACGGCCCAAGAGGCCTCCAAGAGGCCTCCAAGATGGCCCAAGAGGCCTCCAAGGGGTCCTCCAGGAGGACCCGAAGAGATGATAATCATTGATTTTCCTTAGGTGTTTGAAGGAATGTGGCGTTTGCTCATTCTCTGTATTCCGACGGCTCAAGACGGCCCAAGAGGCCCCCAAGATCGCCCCAAGATCGCCCACGAGGCCTCCAAGATGCCCCCATGACGGCCCAACAGGCCCCGAAGAAGTCGAAAACGCACTGGTAAGCTTAGGTATATATTACGCCTTAGGCGTTCCCATATCCCAGGCTTTGGCTCATATCGCATGAGCAGGAGAGCAAGACGAAGCATGGGATCTGGAGTAAAGGATAGGATGGGCATCGTCAATGGAAAAGGTATTTTGCGATCTCAGATACAAGTCGTGCGCCTCGGTGAGGCACAATCACATATTTGGCCGGGCCCGGCTTGAGCCAGGCACGGCAGCGGTACATGCTCGATTTATACCTCGCCTTTAACCTTCTCCGTTTAAAGTCGGAGGGGGAGGAGACGAGCAGGCACCGCACTTCTACATTATGCGGAAAAACAGTGCTAAGCAGCAGCGGCTGCCTACAAGGCAAGGGCGCGCGAGTAGCCTCGCTACCGGCGAGTTTCCTCGCTACTAGAGCGCACCTGCACGCGGGTTTCCCCGCTAGCTCGGGAGGCAGGGCCGTCCTGAGACGACCTGCCCGCCCTATACGGCGTATGTTTCTTCAGCTCGTGCTTGAAGGATTGCTGGCCGGCCATTACTTGTAGGAGCAACGCGCGGTCAATACTACCTTTGGTATGACCATCGGCAGTCATATCCCGCGTGTCACACCATTGAACGCTTTCAACGATTCCGCGCTCCATCATCTGGCGGATCCAGCTAATGTGCCCAAGCAGAGTACATTCTGTGGGCTTCTTCAGATCTTTGCTAGACAAAGACTTGAAGACAGACTCGGCATCAATAGTCAGAGTGACTTTGATACATAGACCACCCATTTCCAATATGTTCTTTAACTGTGTGGGGGTCAATGGTCCCGAGTGTAGCTCGTGGAGCGTTACAATGGTCGGGTAGCAGTCTTCCAAGTTGTGGGCTGCTGCCAGTGTTTCCGCAGAGTAGCTCGAACGCACCTGCAGTCGATGAGACTTGCAGTATGCGTCCACCAGGTGCACGACGGGTTTCCCCGCTTGCGTGTGGCCACGCCTCAGCAGGTTAGCCCCGCGGATACCATAGCCTTTGACTTCGTCGTCTTCATCTCCGTTGAGACGACGATAGCCAGAATCGCTATGCAGGTCGACTTCTCCTGTTGGGGTCATAGCTTGATACACGATCTTCTTCGGACCTGCCTGTAGTTTCCTGGTAACCGCGTTTAGTCGTCGTACCTGGATGTTTGTCGGTTCCTGGATACGTTGTAGTGAGACAACATAGACCATCAGCCATACCTGCGTAATCAACGCATAGGCTAGAGCGCCACGGAGACTGACGAACATATCAGAAATCGTCTTTGTCGCTTTGCTCTCAGGATCAGCTCCTGTGAGTTCTGGATGTGTGATAGGACGAAGCTGTTTGATATATTCGTCCTGATCAAGAGCGACGCTCCCATCATCGGTCTTGTTATACCGAACGGCACAGTTTGTGTATGTGTGCTTGTTCAGTTTGCACTTCCCAAACGTATCTTCAACACACTTGACATACTTGTCAATAGCATCTTCCTTCCCAGTCATATTGATGTCATCAACGTGCTTGGCTGTCAAGAGGTTTGAGCTCATCTCGAACTCTTCGTCGTATGAAGTAGGCTGTAGCCCAAAGCTCCTAGTGATGGACCTGAGCTTCAGCGAGAATGCCCTGGGGGCATCCTTCGTGCCCGTCCCCGGCTTCAGACACCGAAGACAATGCTTTGATTCGTCATATGACTCAAAGCCTGGCAGTGTGCGAAGGACAGCTGCTGACCCAGGAGGTAGCGCGAAGCACACCACACGCTCTTTCTCGCCCGTTGCCGCGGCGAGCTCGCTATAGGTCAGTCCCTTCAAGAAAGCCATATTGATGTCCAGGGAAGCGATGATCCAAGCTTTGTTGCATGCAGCAGAACTTGCGAGCAGTCTCTGGCTTGACCTCCTTGCCGTGCCAGAGAAGGTTTCGACATCAAAGGCTTCAAGGTCCATGAAGCCACGGAGTACCAAGCGTAACCTGATCGTCCTTTCCATTTCGCCCTTTTCGTTCTTGACAAACTTCCATTTGTATACGTAGCGTGAAGTCATGATGTTAGACGCTTTGCTCAAGTCAGTCATCTGAAAGCATTTATTGTCAAGCCAAGTCTTCAATTCTGTGTACAGGGCTTTGGAAACTTTGACCGGATTCGCTTGAATGTCGGCCTTCGTGAGTAGATCGTCTTCCTTGACGACCACGGCACGTTTGGAGGCAGCACTGACGTATACTCGCATAGTTGTGACGCTGCTGTCATCCAACAATCGGCGTTGCTGCTCGGACAGGACGACTTTGGACATGTCTGCTGTGAAGCAGAGCTCGATGTACTTCCCGTGCTCATCGGAGTCCAGATCATATTTGCTATCCGGATCCGTGGAGCATAAAGGAACGTAGTAAGAAGTGTCCATGTCGTATCCTGGCGGGTGACCCCGCTCCGGCAAGTGGCCTTGCACATCTTCACAGGTCGTAGAGACTAACACACACTGTGTGTCTGTCATGTATGTGGGAACTGTATGCATGACTTCTTCTGTGTTAGCTTCAAGGAGTGTTCTGTCATCCATCAGTTCAGCATACCACGACTTCAAGACAAAGGCATCCAGATCTTCTTCTGTTTCCTCTATGATGGTCGGGAGCCGACCATCGTTCTCCGCAGGAGGCTGCTCAGGAGCAGCTGCTGGAGGTGACTCGCTTGGTGGTGGACCATCAGCGAGT